CATCACTGAAAATGGAGGACAGACTCACTGATCTACATCAAAAAGATTTGGGGATAATTTTCATTAAAGCAGCCTTTCATTTAAAGAAAAGGACTCATCTCTGTTGGAGGTATTCAGTTGCAACAAGAGGCTTTTTCTGAAATCTTTGCTTTGCTATTGAGAATTATGATGATGATGATGATGATGATGGTGGTGGTGGTGATGGTGATGATAGCTCACATGTATATAGCACCTTATAGGCAATAAAATACTTTCTACATAGTGTCTAATTTGATCTTCACAAATAAGCCCATAAGGTAGGTAGAGTATTATTCTCATTTTATAGATGAGGACAAGTAGGATGCAAAGAGATTGTGTGATTTCCCTGAGATCACATAACTAGTAGGTGACTAGAACACATGAAGGTTTGATTTAGTGTAGTGGATACAGGGCCAGCTTTGGAGTCAGGAAGATGTGGATGTATTACCACAAGCAATTCACCTAATCTTTGAGTGGCCACAAAAGTTGCAGATGAGAGCAAGGAGACAAACATTTATGTGCCTGGCACTTAAAAAATATTGTCTCATTTGATGTTGACTTACTAATCCACATTGATTGAAGAAATTTCTATACAATGAGAGTTCCTCACATTAATGAAATCTCAAATTTAGACACTACCACCCCTCAAAAAAAGTCCCAAAAATACTATTGTAAGGACCTGGTAGTAAAATGAAGAGGCAGAGGGAAAGAATGCTTAAAAATACTAATAGGTATTATAGAAAAGGACAGCGACTTCCATTTAGCTAAGATGATTTCAATAGTAACAGCCAAATAATGTGACAGAATTTTTCAATTGACTCATTAGTTTATCTCTATATGATACCAGAACTGTTAGTTAAAAAGTGCAAAGTTTAGGGTTCCGCTTCTGGGAGACAAGAAAGCAGAGTTAGAAGTAAGTCACTCTCACCCTCCCTTATTAATCTCTGAAAGCCCAGAAAATATTGCCCCAGGAAAAACTGTGGAACAGCTGAACCAGCAGAAAGATGGGGTGCAGCAATCCTGTAGCCCAGGAAGCTGGAGGGATTAACGGGAAAGGCCCCTCTTGCCCTGGGAGAGGGGGAGCAGTACAGAACGGGAGACATCCCAGCAAGCTACTGGAAAGCCCCACCTCAACATAGCAGGGGGAGATCCTGAACCCCAGGTGGTGGAGCAGCAAGCACCAACACCAGGACCCCCAAGTGCCTCAGTAGGGCAGGGCAACCAGTGGAAATCAGCTCATAAAACCACCATGTGCCACAGTGTTCTAAGGCACCTAAGTCTCCCAGTGCCTCAGCAAAACTCTGGGAAGCACAGCTCCAAGGGAGAAAGCCCCAGGCAGAGAAACATCAATCTTCAAGGAGCTAAAGAAAGTGAAAGGAAAGGCCAGGGGTGAGCAGGCAACTTCATGGGGCCAGACTACCCAATCCAGTGTTGCTGATTCCAGCCCAACACCAGGTAAACTGTCAGAACCCTACAGCCTCCAACTGTTAGCATTGGAGGCCCCAGTACATAAAGCCCATGACCAGGCCCCAGGCTCCCAATACAAGAAGCTCCCCAGCAGGAGAGCTCAATCTTTTTAAAGGCCAGGAAATAAGCAAACACCATGAGTAAAAAGAAGCATTCCATAGATTCTTATTATGGGAAGACTGAAGATCAAGGCAAAAATTTTGAAGAGGACAGCATTGTCAACAAACCCACATCTGGAACCTCAAAAGGGAATATGAACTGGACTGAAGTCCAAAAAGCCTTCTTGGATGAGCTCAAGAAGGATTTTAAAAGTCAAATAAGAGAGGCAGAGGAAAAGTTGGGAAAAGAAAAGAGAGGTATGCAAGACAGAGTCAATAGCTTGGAAAAGGAAGGACAAAAATTTAACTGAAGAAAACAACTCCTTAAAACGCAGAATTTGCCAAACAGAAAAGGAGACACAAAAACTCACTGAGGAGAAGAATTCCTTAAAAAATAAAATGGGCCAAAAGTGCAAAGTTTAGTCAATTCAACTAACTGATATGGGAAATAATGTGGGAAAGGAAAGGGACTAGGAAAGAAGCTTGACTGAAGTCATCTGAATCTTTGTGAATCTAGTCAACACCTGGTTTATTCTTATTTACAGACATGACTTTAGGTAAAGTAGCCACTCAGTATAGTAGACCTGTCTGTAAATGTACACGGGTTAGAAAGATAAGTTCATTTGGGAAAAACAAAAACAAACAAAAAAACAAACAAAAAAACCATGATACCTTCCTTCCCACTTTGCATCAAAATAAGGTGTATCCTAGCATTTAACATGGGAAGCAGTCAAGATACACACACACACACACACACACACACACACACTACCATTCTTCATAACGTGCTCAACAGTAATTGAAGTAAAAGCATTTTTTTACCATTTTACTAAATCTAGCAATTTATTTTTTTATTTCTATTCTGCATTTTTGTAATATTATGACAGATAAAGAACCACTTAACTTTTCTTTCCAGCTAATTTCTTTTCTTTCTTTCTTTCTGTCTGTCTGTCTGTCTTTCTTTCTGTCTTTCTTTCTTTTTCTATCTTGCCCAGGCAGGAACAGCAGCTTCTCATGGGGCTGATCCCACTACTGACTGACACGGGAGATTTGACCTGCTCTGTTTCTGACCTTGGTTAGTTTGTCCCTCCTTAGGCAGCCTGATGGCCCCTCTGCTTGCCATATTAGTGCTAGATTTAATGTAGATACCCAATTTGCCTTGGTTTTACTGCAGCTCAGAACTTCCAAGTTCAAGGGCTCCACTAGCCTCAGCCTATTCCAGTAGCAAGTATTACAAGTATGCACCAACATGACCAGCTCCAGTTAATTTCTAATCCTAGACACTATCACTGTACACTTCCTCTAGGAGATGGAGCTATTCTTTTTGTAAGACTGCACAGATCTCTGCCCCCAAATCTGAGATCTCCATTCTTAAAACCTACCTTTAAGGAAATGTTAAACCTATTGCACAAGGCTATTTGAAACTATATTCTTGCATTGTAATTGTTCTTAGATTCTTTCTCATAATTATTAACAAAAGCAGCATTATAAATTAACAAAAGCTCTTTTAACAGATGCCTGAGTGTGTTTAATTGTTCCCCTCTAAAGAGTCAAGGGAAAGATATTTCTATTTTTACCCAACCTTTGGGAATTTCCACTGTCAGTCAGTTTAAAGTCTGTGGGAGGCTGACAGTGCAAATTAACAGCTGGCTAGAAAGAGGAAAGGTATTATTATGATTAAATCCAACCACACAGGGGAGTGAAGTCTCAGCCAAACTCATTGGATTAGAGCAGCAGTCTTTTACCGAGAGTGACTGTCCCAGGGTAACTGGAGTGTCTGGTAATCTCATCCCTTAAGATTTAACTTTCCCTCCTAGTGCCTAATCTCTCATTTCCTTTGTTGAGAAAGCAAAAGAATATATATCGTTTGCAAAAACTATGGCATGAAGCCCAGAAACTGTGACATGAATATATCACAGAATAATATTTTTTGCACAGGGTTATAAATATCTTGTCACCTCTAGCATATATTTAATAGAGACAGTCTGTATCTTATATGATAAGAGTAGTACAACAATCACAGATACAGTAAAAAATGGATGACTATATACTCTCACAGAATTAAGTTACTATGCACAAGTTAAAGGGGCATAAATGAATTTGTCTTGGCACTCAAGAAGTTACTTCCATAAACATCCCTGAGTATAAACTAGACAACAAAGTACTCTCATAAATGATTCAATTTAATGACTACAACAACAGCCACAAATATGGAGAAAGATAGCATCATTTAATGAAAATGGGATTCTTTCAAAGTTTGCTATCACAGCTAGCCTGCATTAGTGAGAATTCCAAAATATAGAGCTCTGTGGTGCTCATAACCCAATCCCTATGGAATTCGGAAAGCAATTAGCTCATTGTGTCAAAAGTGGGTACCTTGATCTCTAAGCCAACTAAAGCAGAGGACACAGCCTTAAATAGGGTGAGGTGAATGGAGCTTTGTCCTAGGGTTTGGGGATGCTGCTAACATTTCTGTTTCTTTCAAAACTTGGAAACAACAGAGTTTTTAGCACCTAGGGAACAATAATACTTTGCTGAAGTAAGAAGCTACTAGATGGTCCACTTTCCTTCCTGTTCTGCTTCTTCCTCCCTGCCACACCTCTCCCTCTCCCTCCATAGCCTCCCCAGCCTTGCCCTGGGGCCTGGCCATTATGCTGTTCTAGGATCAAGGTGTCCCAGGACAGTTACCACCATCAACCTGGCTCATATTTGTCCCAGAACTGTAATGCAGCATTTACTGAAAGGTGATTAATGGAATGTGAATAGGGGTCCCATCAGAAAGAAGGTAGTGAAAAGGACATATTATGTGTGTCAATTTTTTATGTAAAAATGGTATTAATTGCCTTTACTATGTTCCAAAATTCCCCCAGCTCTCTCACGGTATTTTTCTCATCTGTAGAATGAAATTGTTGGCCTCTACTGTTGGCTTCTAAAGTCCCTTCAAATTCTAAGTCTAAAATGGTACAATCCTATTCCATGTTTTCAAGATACCCTCTATCAATTAACTAGCATTTATTAAGCATTTACCCATGTGCCAAGAGTGGAAATGGGCTGTAAGGACATTAAGACAAAAGTGAAGCGCTTCTGGCACTTGAGAAACAGTCTCACATTCCTGAGTTACATTCTAACAGGAGAGACAAACATGTCCACATAGAGATATATACACAAAACAAATATAAGATATGTGGGTGGGGGAAGAAAGGCACTAATAGCTGGGAGGATGGAGAGAGGCTTAATGTGGAAGGAGGAACTGGAACTAAGAATTGAAAGAAACCCAGGATTCTCAAAGAATCCAGAATCTGAGGGTTCTCTCGACCAATCCCAAGCTCCCAGAGTATAACATGTCATTTGGAGAGGTTGTTCTACAGAAATATTGCCTTCTAGTATTTGAGGAGTTATCTATTGGCAGACACTTACCTCGTCAGTGAACCCTATAATCTTAAAGCAGTGCTGAATTTCTTCAAATTGTTTTCCATATGACTCTTTAGCAATAATATCTTCCATCACCCTTCCTGTCTCATTATCTATGTACCTAAATGAAAAGGAATGTTACCACACAGTACTAGCTTTTGTCTAAAAAGTTGCACCCCGAATGCCATGCATGCCTCAACCCATTTTCTCACAGGTGCATTTGTCTAAGAGACTATAACTACCAAGTGGAACTAATTATGCATGTAGACGGATAACGTGGTTACAAATGAAAATTTAATCCCTCCATAGGAAATCCAGGCAGTGACTACAGTCATTGCCATGTAAAACTACTTTTGGGGGGTAACTTTTAACAAGGGAATATTGGATTAAACACCTATTACTAGTCTCAGCTAAATAGACTGTGTAGCTTCAGTCAAGAAAGCATTCACTCAGCATGTCAGTGTTTGCTCATTGCTAATTACATATTTATTTAAATAGAAGAATCACCATATAGTTACCTAGGAGGCTTTTTCTCTGGCAGACTGTACTCAGAAATTTTCTTTTGGTGATAAAGACCAGCATAAATATAGTAAAAAATATGAAAATTTTTCTCTCCTCTGGAAAAAAAATGGAATATTGTTAAAGTGATATCCAAGAACTCTTTTCAAAGCATAATATTTCTGGATTTGCACATTGGTTCCCTATCCAAGGAGGTGAAATCCAGGACTGTGACCCTACCAAGTTAAACTTATCCTCAGCAGAACCTACCAAGCTCTGCCTGTCCTCATTTCTACTAAGGTCACCAGTCTAAAGTACTACAGTCTTGGGTCAACCTACTTTCTTTCAAAACGTTTCTGGTCTCAAGAAGACAAGGGTATTTCCCTCTTGGGACTGCCAGGTCTACCTCTTTGGCTCCTGGTTTTTAAAAATGGCCTCACATAGTCATTTTCCTTACAAAGTGGCTAGCTCTTAATCTAGAAAATCCTATCTGCCAGTATCTCTTTCTTCCTAGTCCTATTCTGTTCCTGTTCTTTCCTTCCAGGTACATTCTATTCTTCCTTTTGTTTAGAAGTTAGTTGAGTGGACTTTGATGTCTGAATCCCCCTTCCATGTGCTACACTCACCATCCTGGCATCAGCTATTATGGGTGTCTTCCAGACAGGCAGTATGGTATGGTAGAATGAAGGCTAGAGCTGGAGCCAGAAGACATTTGTGTGAATCCCTACACTGCCACTAACTCTCTGTTGGACGTTAGGCATATCACTATGCCACTCTGGTCTATTTCCTCATCTATGAAAGGAGAGGGTGGGACTAAATGACCTTTAAAAGGCAGAGTTCTTTTTTTTTATATGTCATAGATCTCTCTGGCAGTTTGGTGAAGGCTAAGGATTTTCCCTCAAAAATAATGTTTTTAAATGCATAAAACAAAATACATCAGATTACAAAAGAAACCAAAGATTAATGAATATAATAATGGGCATTTTTTTCCTGTTCAAGTCCATAGACATACTATAATGTATCTATGGCCCCAGGTTAAGAACCCCTGCTCTGAGGTTTCTTATGGCTCTAAATCTATGTGCTTTTCACTTTTTCTTCTTCTATTTTTCTAAATTCAAAGTTCCTTACTTCATGCTGCTTTCCTCATGATACTTTTGGTTCAGAGTCCTGACTGCCTCCAATGGAAAAATCTCTGATTTAGAGTCATAAGATCTTGGTTCAAATTTCAGTTTTGGAAATTTTACCTGTGTGACTTTGGGCAAAAATAATGACTCTCATTTATAAAGTACTTTAAAGTTTGCAGAGCATTCTACCAACATCACTCTGTTGTGAACCACATTAACAGCCCTATAAACTAGATGCTAGAGCATCATCCCCATTTTACACTTGAGGAAATTGGCTTCCAGAGTTAAATAGCTTTTCCATGGCATCTCATCACTACATTTTGTTTTGGAAAATATTTTTAAATAAATATGTGACATTTATATTAACAAATATCAATAATATTAATAGATGTAACCAACATAAACAAAAGCTTTTTAAAAAAATTTAAAGTATAAAGGGACACTCAAACTTTTAATTAATTAATTAATTAATTTGCTTTTTGGTGAGGCAATCGGGGTTAAGTGACTTGCCCAGGGTCACATAGCTAGTTAGTGTCAAGTGTCTGAGGCCACATTTGAACTCAGGTCCTCCTGACTCCAAGGCCAGAGCTATATCCACTGCGCCATCTAGCTTCCCCATATTCAATTATTTTTAAGAGCGCAAAGTGGAACAGACCAAAAAATTCGAGAAACATTGAACTATGTCATTTTCCTTCTTTGTGGTGCTCAATTTATTTATTTACAAAATAAGGACAGAGGATTGAAGTGATCTCCAAGGTCCCTTCTGGCTAAATATATCATTCTACAGCCCGTTTTTTATTATGAAACCTTGATCCTTGCTCAGGAGCCTCAATAACACCAGTCAATCCTGGCCCGGGTTTCTTTAGGTCATTAGAGCAGAATCAGTTCTGTGCTTTACATATATACCTTCAGAGACATAACAATTCCCACCAGTTTGAGTCTATTTTTAAAAATATTAAAAATGTATCACAATCATATATGCAAGCAGAAAGCTGGGGCTCTCCTTTTGTCTAAGGTGAATCCCCAAGTTTTCCTATTGCCTTGGATGGCAGAGGAAGAGAAGTACCTGGCAGGACTACCAGGGGCAGTGAACCTAGAATGCACTACATGAGGAATACTAAAGAGGCATACTTATACGCTATTGCGCCTTACTGCCTTTTTGTTTCATTGTCATGGTGTTCTCTGCTCCTGGGGAGAACTCTTTATGCATGATGTAAGCAGATGATTTACAGAATATAAAGTGGAGATTGAAGTTTTTAGAAGAAAGCTGGCAGCATTGGTGAATGAGTTAATCCAGGGTGAATTTTGTTGACAAAATAGGAATGTAAAGTTTAATGGTTTTGATTACTATATACATGGCTGTGCTAATCTACTAGACAAGATCCACTTGGGAATACAGCTTTGTATGTTGCTCTGGACAAATGTTGGACAAAGAAGTGCTACTGGTCTCTAGCCCAGGAAAGAAAACTACTGACTGCTCTTCTCTAACCACAGAGGCTGTAATATGTGTGATAATGGAACCATTTTTAAAAAATTGTAGTTTATGTTCATATTCAATTGTACAAGAGAACTTTGTTTTTGCCAGTCTTCTTCTACCAACACAAATCACAACCTTTCTATAACTTGTAATCCTAATTTGGGAGTTAAATAAGAGAAGTTAAGTGACTTGTCAATGGTCACACAGCTAGCATATGTGCCAGGAGGGATCTGAACCCAAGTCTGACTGACTTCCAATCCAGCATTGTATCCATTATATAATGCTTATATAATTTTATATAAATAAGGATTTAAAAAGATTAAACATTGCACCTACACAGCTTGTTTTATAACTCTGGACTTTTCCAAGAGGTATTCAGAAATTTTTGCCCCCATTACAGCTCCCGTTGGTGTGAACATCATTTCCAGATACTTCCCGAAACGACTCGAGTTGTCATTGATGGCAGTACAAGCATTGCCAAATGCTTCCACTAAGGGGTTCACCTGGAGTATTTTCTCTCTCAGAGCCCGGTTGTTGGCCTATACACAACAGAGAAAGGGCGTGAAGAACTTCCAAAATGAATACACTTGCTATGTTCACCCACAGCACCTGTCCTCTTAAATTCTCCTTATGATGCGGGAAGGAGGGCTCCAAATGTGTTCGCAGCAGCTAGTGGTAGAGAATGACTTTCAAGACAAGGATCCTCAAGCAGAAAGCACTGTCTTCCATAGAATTGAAGGGCTGGGAGGCAGTCACACCTTAAACAATCCCAACAGATGAAAGACATAGAACACCGGGGAAAACCTTCCTTAGTAATCTAGTGTTTAATAAACCCTTTACCATTAGGACATTCTTCCTCAGATTTAACCTAAACTCCCACTGTGGCAGGGAAGAGAAGTACCTGGCAAGACTACCAGGGGCAGTGGACCTACAATGCATTACGTGAGGAACACTACAGAAGCGTATTCATACTTCTCTTGGGTCTGCGGCTGGCTATATATTATATTAAGCCTTCAGCTATCTGAAGACCGTTGTTTTTAAGGACACTTTTCACCATCTTGAATCCACGCTGAAAAATTCCTATTCCTTCAATATCCCCCCAAATACTTTATTTTTCCATCATTTAAGTCATCCCTGGGACATTACCCCTAAAACTCTCCTGATACTTTTGCCACTTTTACTTCCTGATGTTATTGTTTAAAATTTGAAAAATTTAATTGCATATAATGAAGCTCATGTGGCCTGTTTTTTTCTACTACGTGGGAGAAGGTGGCATGTCATTAGCCAAAGGGGATACATTAACAGAAGAATCAATCAACAAAGTTTTTTTTTGCATGAGTAAGAATAAGTATTGTGCATTTTTTTCTTTACAAAATACTTGATCGGCAATACATTCTTATCACTGTGTTACATGGTTCATTAAATACCTTTCCCAGGAAGGTCAAATGCTGGACAATCAGATGGGCACTTTCTGTCTTCCCAGAACCACTCTCTCCACTGATGATAATGCACTGATACAGTAAACAGAAGGTCAAGTAGAAAACTCAGAATATAATCAACAAAAGCGGATGTTCAGCTATGATTTTTGTATAGAATCAAGTCAGCATTATTTGATAAATAGCACACATCTATTTTTGTTAATCCATTATGCAAATCATAATTCCAAAAACTCTAAATGACAAAAAAAATTCAAAGCAGAGGAAAACTATAAGAGTAGAAAGACATTTCAAGGACAAGGAGTTAAATAGGCTCAGTTGAGTAAAGAGATGCTTTAGAGAAGAGGTGTTAAACATGCAATCAGCCAATGCAGGCAGAACTGGATTAAAATGTAAATGGGAAATATTTAACAAAATAAATTAAAATATAATGGAATGTAGATAATGTTAATATAAGGTTTTCTAAGACAATATGTTACCCACAGGAATCTTTATGTAATAATAATTCTTATTATAATAACTAACATTTATATAGTACTTACTATGTGCCAGGCACTGTGCTAAGTACTTTATAATTATTAATCTCATTTGATTCTCACAAAAATCCTGGGAGGTAGGTGCTGTTCTCTCTTTTAAAAAATTCAGGGATACAAAGTTTCAAAAAGAAATGTTAAAAGTAGTTTTCACATGAAGCTGGGAAATAAGATTATATAGGCAATGGGGTATAGAAATCTATCCTACTCTATAAGAAAATAGAAGGGGAAGGGGATAAGAGAAGGGGAGGGAGATAGAAGGGAGGGAAGATTAGGGAAAGAGGTATTCAGAATGCATGCCATCTTAGGGTGGGGGAGGGATAGGATGGGGAGAAAATTTGGAACTCAAAATCTTGTGGAAGTGAATGTTGAAAACTAAGAAATTAATAAATAATAAAATTAAAAAACACTTAAAAAGATTAATTCCACTTTTCATCTGAATGCTGTGAAATTATGATTTTAAACTATCACTATTAGAGACATTTGTCATTATGATTAAAATAAACTATCAAGCAAAAAAAAAAATTCAGGTTCACATCACATTTTAATTCCACAGCTTCAGTCCCCATTTTACAGATGAGGAAACTGCGAAAAACAAGGGTTAAGTGACTTGCCCAGGGTCCCACAGCTAGTAAGTGTCTAAGACTGGATTTGAACTTGTGTCTTCTTGATTCCAAACCCAGTGCTGTATGCACTGTGCTGCCTAGCTGCCCAGTTTAGTTATCCCCATTTCTCTTCAAACTGGACATTACTACTCTAGAAGATTAAGGAAATGGATCAATCTCTACTAAGAATACGATTTTACATCCTTGGACAATCTCTCCACTTAGAAATTCTCACCACCCTTTCCACTTTGAAATCTCTGAGAGTTCCACATGTGGTAAGAAACTTGGCCAAGGATGCCTTGCTGTCTCTAAAACTAACTGAACGCAGTTCTTGCACAGTGTAGTTTCCCTGGACACAGCCTCATCCTGCTGTTCAACAAAGCCGAAAATCTTAGCTAGCTATCCTTTAGTCTGACCTCAAACGCAGGGGAAATTATTCTCTCCTTTAAAAAAAAAAGTGCAGGAATCCATCACATTCTAATGTCACAGCTTCAAACTCAGCTCTCAGGGCAAAGGAAAGTAAAGTCAAGGGTGGTCAGAGGTTGACTTTTTTACAGCTGTAACGTTGAATGCATCACAACTGTAAATGGAAAGCCCATAAAATTAAAATAGATGGTCTGTCTGTTCTTAACCAGCCAATAGTTGGAAGGTTAATACAGCACTTTCACAATTCCATAATCATATATCAACATCCACGTTAACAGGAGTGGTCACTGTTAACCGTGTAAGGAAAAAAAAGAAAAGCCCCATCATAACAATCCTAAGATTTTAAAAAGAAATAATTCAGTTTATATGGTGGTACAATATATTCTTATTTCAATCATCATTATATAATTGGATTTGTGTTGCTCTATGTCCCCATTATATTCCTATTAGACATGTCCTTACTATGCTGTGCTAAGGCAAATGAATGTTCTTTGTGTTAATGCTTCATATTTCCTAGGAAGTGTTTTCATGTTCTCTGCTCCTATGACCTCTCCAGGACTGCTGGATTTGATTGGGTGACAGTTTAGTTTGCTGTGTTCTGTCAGTAACTGGGATGGAAGGCTCTCTGAACAATGGGCAAGTGGCAAAGCGAATGCTGAATAGAAAGAAGCAGGGCAGAACAATGTGTTCCTGCTGACAGTGCTAGGAATAAGGATGTATGAAGTCTTACCTGGTCTTTGCTGAAAGTTACCATGCCTTGGTATGCAGCATCTGCAGAGGCAAATATGTGGGGGGGATTTGAGGACCGTTTCACACCATGATACAGTTTGGAAAACTGCAGAAAGGAAAAAGTATGTTATAAAGAGGAATGAACACTAACCCTTAGAGTCAGAGGGCATGGGTTCAAATCTTGCCTCTGAAACTGCCTATGTGACCTTGGGCAAATCACTTAACCTCCTAAGCCTCAATTTTCTCATCTGTAAAATCTGTAGATCTCATTCTTACTAAATCTATAATTCTCTATGACAATGCATCTTTACCCAAATCTTGAAATTTAATAACCTACAACATGATGCCCAAGGCAGCTAGGTGGCACAGGGGACACAGTGCTGGCCTTACAGTCATGAAGACCTGAGTTCAAATCCTGACAGATATTTTCTAGCTGTGTGAGCAATTCACTTAACCTCTATTTGCCTCAGTTTTTTTAACTGTAAAATGGGAATTATAATATAATATAATAATATATTATAATTATAATAACATCTACCTCCTAGGCTTATTGTCAGGATCAAATGAGATTACATTTGTAAAGATTACATTTGTACATTAGCACAGTTCCCTACACATAGTAGGTGCTTAATAAATACTCTCCCCCTGATTGCATAGCCAGACCTTAGGAGTCTATGTCAGTTTGGTGGAAGGCCTCCACTCCCTAGTTGAGAGGCTCAGGGATGTGTGCCTGGCCTTGCACTGTCCTTTGTCAAAGGCTTTTTTTTTCTAATCATGTGGTTTGGGATGTTTCATTTTTTTAAATATCATTAATTATGTTGATTGTTTTCCTAGTGTTAACCCAGCCTTGCAACCATGGCACAAATCCCCCTTAGTCATAAGGAACGATTTTCGGATTAGTCCCTGTAATCCATAAGACATAATTTTGTTTAAAATTTTTGAGCAAATATTCATTAATGAAAAAAACACTTTTTCCCTTAACCTCTCCCACATTTGGAAAAGATCTAAAGTCATTTATTAAAATATCTGTTTTAAAAGTCACCATGACTCCTAACATGCAGAGATCCAGTTTGAGAGGCAACAGCTACAAAGGAGTGATACAGACCTTGAGGTGTGTCTTACCCGTGGGGAATATATGCTGAGATTTTGAAAGGGGTTTAGGGCTATTAAGATGTCTCCAACGTATGTATAAATCTGTAAGTCTGCATAACGTTTTTGCAGCTGGTGAATAATTGTATCCTGAAAAGAATAAGATATTTTAAGTGTAAAATTAAGTATTTTGTTTTCTGGTGAAGACAGAGTCTATGAGAAGTATTGAACTTATTTTTATAATTCTACAATTCTCTTATTCTGCTACTCAAAAACAAGTGTATTGTTTCCCCCCAAACACTTATCGGAATATATGTTGTCATTGCCCCAGAATGTAGGTTGCTTGAGGTCAGGTAATTTTTTTTGTCTATTTATGCTCGGTGCCTAGCATACAATCTTGCACACCAGAGTAGGCTCTAAATAAATGCTTGATTTATTGAATTGGATTATTGACATGAACAATATTTTTTCTCAAAGATAAAGTTGCCAAATTAAATCCAAAAGTTATTTCTTTATTATAGACATTCACTAAAAAAAAAAGAAAAGAAGAATGAATTTGAAAGGCTTTCATATGCTTTGGACTGCATAACAGATTCTGAAATAACCAGGGAAGTTTCTTTTTTTTTTCCTTTCTCTTCCTTCTTTCCTTCCCTTTCCTTTTTTCTAACTTGCTGTGCCTGATTAAAACTTTCCACTTAGAATTTTATTTAATAGGAAATTCCTGTTGATTAAGCACACACAAAGGAGGACTTTATTTCATGTTGCATTCTGCTTCAAATTTATGTTGTGGGGATGGAGAATTCAAACACTTCTTTATCATACTTCAGTGATTTAGGCATTAGAGTTAAGGTTCCCCAGAGCTAGAAGACACAGGTCTCTTGCAATTAACAGCTCTATTAAACATGCATATTTTACAGAGGGTTTATCACAGTTTTCATTCTAGAATTCAAGCTATGCTAAGCTTAATTTTCCCCTAAACATATGATTCTTCTTTAAGAGGAGGAAATAACAATCTTGATTTTCAGGGATAAGTTGAAAATTTTATAACAGAAAATAATTTCAGTGGATGTCATCCATCATTCAGGCCTACAACAAAATGGGATTTATTGAAACCACTTTTTTCTTTATCACTCCATAGAATATAAATGAATGCATAATATAAGATCATAATCGCAGTGCCTACTTATTCCCTCAGCTTCATGCCAAGGCTACAAACAATTAACTTTGATGTGACTTTAGTAGAAGGAAGGCTTCAATAGGAATGAAAAATGAATTCATAAGAAATCATGTCAACAAGCATGAGAATTCCCTCTCTCAGGGCACCATACCTCATCTAGAACTTCCAGGTTGACCAAATCATCATCCAGGGAACATTCTTCCGGAGCTTCCACATGATAAGTTCTTCTAGTATACATGGTTTCGTGCCTGTGAATTCGCGGCAAAGCATCAGTGTTTATACTATAAACTAGATGTCTCACAAGAAGAAAGCATTCCTTCCAGAAGGCAGACACAGTGACCAAATGTCTTATCTTAATGTACTCCGAGAGAAGGGCTTTGTTAAAGCAGTGGACACTAACGCTGCCAGTCTGTAGCCAAACTGCACCTCACTCACGGTATTCTCCACCTTCCATCACTGTGCCTTTATACAGGTCATTCACCATGCAGGCATTGCACTTCTGCCTGCCCGTCACCTCAGGAAGTCCTTCTTCTTTCTTTAAGATACAATTCAGACACCATTTTCTACAAGAAGCCTTTCCTGATTTCCCTCAACTGCTGATGATCTCTCTCTCATGGAGCTTGGACTTAAATACTCTGTGTGTGTGTACATATGTATGTAGGTAGGTAGGTAGGTGTATATTTAGGTAGTGCATATCTTTCTATGTATTTGTCTCCCCCATTAGAGGGATGAAGGGATAGGTAGATGGATGGATGGAGAGAGAGAGAGAGAGAGAGAGAGAGAGAGAGAGAGAGAGAGAGAGAGAGAGAGAGAGAGAGAGAGAGAGAGAAAAGCAGACAAACTTAATTCAATGGGCTGCTCGTTCAAGTGCATGCTTAATTCTGGGCAATATGCATTGTTCATCCATTTTGTTTTTCCACTATAGACATAAGAAATGACTAAATAACTAAGGATCTCATTGAGGAGCCCCTGGAGAGTTCTTAAGCTCAGTACAACCCACAAAACATTATCCTGAAAAGGAGTATTTCTCCAAAGCATTTTACCATTTTGTAAGCTTTAAAGCACCACTTCCAGAGCTGTTGTGGGCATCAAGAAGAATAATGCCAGCTGGAAACATTACTATTATAATAAATATGGAAATAGCTCACCTTTTTTTGTAGGGGGAGGAGGGGTCTGGCTGGGGACTCTGCAAAGGGCAGTTAGGTGGCACAGTGGATAGAGGACTGCTGGGCCTGGAGTCAGGAAGACCTGAGTTCCAATCTGACCTCAGACACTAGCCAGCTGTATGACCCTGGACAAGTCACTTAACCCTGTTTGCCTCAGTTTCCTTATCTGTAAAATGGAGAAAGAAATGACGAACCACTCCAGTATCTTTGCCAGGAAAACTCCAAAGAGGGTCACAAGGAGTCAGACACGACTGAAATGAATGAACAACCATAATGAATATAATCCATGATACACACTAACCATATATTCCATATTTATGTGTTCCTGTCTACTGCCTCACTTGATGTTAATTTTTAGTGGATCATTGGACAAAGGTATCTCTTTTGCTACTGAAGAAACTTATATGAGTTTAACATATGTATAAGAGATGTTTGTTTAGGTGAGCCTTTAAGGCTACAGTTTATTCTGCTGAATCAATTGCTGTTTGGTGCGCTTTGGAGGTTTGGGAGAAATCAACGAACAAGAGATTATAGGAGGTTCGTATATTTGAATCATCACTCCAACAGTGATGTGACTGGGAAGGTGATAATCTGATTTAGAAAAGTCTTCTCCAAAAGACCCCCTGTTCTCCTTCAATGTTTTCATCAGAAACAGCCTTGATGTGTGGTCAGACTATTCTCATAAAGATTTTATAGTGACAAGAAAGCAGGTGTGTAATTCAGTAGTTCCTATCTTTTTGGTGATATTTTAGAGGTAATAAAATGATATTTTCCATTTTTTAATCTTCCACTCTTAGATATTTTGAAAATTGGTAAATAGATCCATGGAATTATGGGATTTAGAATTTAAAGGGACCTTTGAGATCAAGTCCAACTCCGTAACATTACAGATGAGAAAACTGAGATCTACTTTGTACAAAGCAATGTTCATTTTATTTGGTATTTATATTCAGAATATTTAAAAATAAATTTAAAAATTACATTGCTGCCAACATGAATTTGTTTTTTACATATTTGATCAGATGTCCCAGCTCTTTCCAACTTAATCTACTTTAGTGAAATTAATACTTTTTTTTTTGATGAGGCGATTGGGGTTAAGTGACTTGCCCAGGGTCACACAGCTTACAAGTGTTAAGTGTCTGAGGCTGGATTTGAACTCAGGTCTTCCTGACTCCAAGGCCAGACCTCTATTTACTACACCACCTCACTGCCCCAAAATTAATACTTCTTAATTTAGTTTTTTGGGTACTGAAGTAGTAAAATTCAAAGGATGGTTCCATTATTATTGCTAATGAGAATACTATATATCACTACAAAATAGTAATAGATTTGATCCATTTAATGACTATTTGTAATACCTCCAGCTTCATCTGCAAATGTTCTTAGGATGATCTAACTTATCTTGTCTTATACCAAGTCTTCTAGAATTCCATATTCCCCTCCACTGATGCTGTGAGAAAACATTGTTTGGAATCTTCAGTTTTCTTTCTTTTTAACATTTTGCGAATGTCGTCTAAATCAGTGCTGTTCTTGTTGCTAGGTTCCTCCACTTGCCAAGGAGAACCAGTTTTTGCTTCCTGAGGAGAAGGAAGTGTCTTCTGGTCTTTTCATTATGGTCATTCTTTTGCAGCAGGTTCTCTAAGTAATGGTGCTAATCATAATCCATGTCTTTATATTTACCTAGTTCCCATATTTTGGAGTTGACAGCTCATTTATTCAATTCAATAAACATTTATTAAGCATTTGCTATGTGCCAGACACTGTACTAAATGCAGAGATACAAAAGACAGTCCCTGCCCTCAAGGAGCTTACAATCTAATGGGGGAAACAACATGCCAACTAATATATATGAAGCAAGTTACATAGAAGGTAATAGCAAATAATTAATAGAGGGAAAACACTGGAATTAAGAGATGGGGAAGGCTTCCTGTAGGAGGTGGGATTTTAGTTGGGACTTAAGAGAAACCAGGGAAGTCAGTATTCAGAGTGGAAGAGGAAGAGCATTCCAGGCATGGGGGACAGCTAGAGAGAATGCCCACAGCACAGAGAAGGAGTGTTGGGTTGGAGTAGTATAAATTAATAGCACATCTTTTTATCTTTATCATTTTCTTTCATATTGGAATTTTATTTTGAACTTTGCTTTAACCAGTCAATCATCTAATTACACTCAGAAAACTGATTCTGAAATTACCATTATGTCATTATAGAAGCATATCTATTAAGGCCTCCTATTTCTCTTGAAATATTAAGAATTAATATTAAGATAGTATGCTCATTTTGAAATCCTTGGACTTATCTGAATGAAGAAAAACCGTATCAGTACTTAAATTTCAAGGAAACAATGTCCTGCATAGATATCTCCTTCCTCTACTCCCACCTCTATCCTCTTATCAAAGGCCTAAACATTTTCTAAAAGGAAATTTGATCAAAGTTCAGAGGGGAACCTTGAACTCACTGAAAATCAATGTGGGTGATGATTAGAAGATCAGTATTATCCCTGGATTAATCTAATTAAGAGGCCTACTTCTTTCTCCAATAAGACTGAATGGTTTTAGGAAAATGATTCTCCAGGGTGCCCTGACATTTAATATTATTATATTATAGTATATGTAGTATTATAAGTTATTATTTTAAGTAAATCCAAAACTCTAAAATTAAACTTCATATTTTTGCTTTGCCTTTCAATAGAATTTTTGTTTGTTCGTTTCACTGTCACTATAAAAATGTAGCTTAGACAGAGATTTTTCAATAAGCAAGTGAAACTACACATTTGGATTTCTTTTTTTCTAAGCAATCATGTGTGGATTGATAATGAATAAATTTATCTCTGGATCTAGAGTTCAGAATTGTGCCAAAGTCGTGAATTTTTCTTTCAAACTGACAGTCAGTTATTTTCTGTATTTTAAAATAATTTCTTATTTTAAAGGATGGTATTCATTGGACACCTAGTCTAGGGTTGTCTAATTGGCTCCTTAAAGAAGTTATTTATGACACATAGGCAAGAGCAGTCTTCTCAGCAGTCCATTAATCTTTGGATTCATTTTTCAATCCTGAATCATATTTTTCAACATTGTTTTTGTTTTGGGTTTTTTTTTTGGCCTTCTTTCATCTCAAAGTTGGAAAGTATTAATGAATATGTTGATTTGTTTTTGCTCATTATAGTCTTTATAGAATTTTTCTACTTGTTAAAATTATTTTCATGGTTGTTTGCTTATGCTCATCAATAAATGATTATGGAATGAAATGAAAAAGCATTTATTAAGTCCTTCTACTTGGTGAAGAAGATATTCAGATACATATGTATATATACATGATCTAGAAGAGAAAGGGGGAAAAAACAATTAACAGGAGAATTAGTCAAGATTTCCCACAGGAGATGGTATTAAAGGTACAGAAGAAGTAGAAGATAGAATTTGTGAATGTGATTATTGTGAAATCAGCTTGGAAAGGTGTAGGATGATAGAATCAAAGATTTAGAGCTGGAAGTCACCTCAGAGACCACATGACACAATCCCTGCAGTTAGAAGGGGTTATATATAATTTATAAAGGTTGTATATAATAAGAAACTGATGCTGAGAGAAGCTGAATGACTTGCCCAAGGTCACACAGGTAGTAAGTGTGACAGACACTCCTCTGATTCCAAAATTAGTGGGAGGGGTTTCCCCCACTGGGTAGAGCCAAATTATAAAGGGCTTTAAATGCCAAGATGAAGAGTTGCTATTTCATTCTAGAGGCAATAGGAACCACTGAGCTTTCTTGAGCAGGAGGCAATATGTTCAGACTTGTGCTCTAGAAAGATTATTTTGGCAGCATGTGAGATGGTTTGGAGGCTGTTGTAATAATCTAAGTGAGAAGAGATTGAGGGACTGAATGAGGGAGGTGTCTATATGAGTAGAGAGAAGAGGATAGATGCAACAGATATTCTAGAGGTAGAATTAAAAAGGTAACAATAGTCAGAGCTCACATTATTATTAAAATCAAAATGGTAATAATAAAAATAAATATTCAAAAGTTGAGTAGTGGACTTGAAAAAGTTATGTTGTGGCCATTTCTTTTTTGTACCACAATGCATTCTCTGATA